TTACAGTTGAACTATGAACTTTCAATTCAATTTACAGTAATAAAATGGTTATTTATTTTATTTTTTTATTCCAATAATGAAAACTTTGAAGGGGAATTGTTTATTTTTTTTATGAAAATGTAAAAAGTAGGTGCTCAACCAACTGCAGTTTTCAAAATAGCTTTTCAAAAGTTTTTTGGTCAATTTTTGCACAACATAATTATAATATAAAACATTTTGCCCTCATTTTCTTTTTGCACAATATAATTTCTTGTTTTAATTCTTTGGCTTTCCATGTGAAATATGTTCCTGATTGCTTTCTGAAACTGACCTGACCACATGCATTTCTGACAACCTGCGAATTTGCTTTAAATAATTGAATCACAAACATTCCAGACCCCGTTTACACCTGCGTTCATCATCACTGACCGACTGTGATCAGATCAGTGATGTTATTAATACCAGGTGTAAACGGTGCCCATTTGACAAGCCCATGAAAGCCGTCTGCAGTGGACGCCCATCCAGTCACCAAAGTCTCCGGCTCACATTTGTCACGTTTGAATGACAATAGACACCCATCGGGTCAGTTAAGTGTCCACCTCATAATTTGGAGAGGGTTTGGGGGGGTCTGTCCTGTTTTAAAGAGGTCCCTTGTGACCCTTCTACGGCCGTCCAGCCCCCGCCCGTCATACATCAACTACATAATGGCACTCAGGAGCTCTCTATGCTCAAGAGATCTATGCTACCTCTGCCTTTGTGTGGCTAGAGTGTTTGTGTCTGTTGAGTTTTATTGTCACGTGTTTTCTTTCTCTCTGTTTTTCTTCCTAATGAGCCGCAGCATTGAGTCCAGCCTCTTATCTCCACAGCCAGAGGCCTCTATTGTCTGCGCCGATAAATAATGCAGGAGCTGATCTGTGATGGACGTCCTGAGCCTTTTGTAGTTTTATTTTGGAGTCCAATATGGGACTTCATGTATTTGGGCTGCTCAGACTGGGTGGGACACACACATTCTGCTTTGTTTGTGGGTGCTTTTAATCATAAGCATTAAAGTTTTATCAACTGGATGCAATAACTTTCAGTTTAAATTTATGGCACGGACTATAAATAATATGTTTTATTGTCTGGAACTATTACATTATTCCAAAACATTCAAATATAATGGAATATTTGGAATATTAAAAAAAAAAAAATCCTGAATTAAAATTAATTTTGATATTTTCTGTTTTCTAAAAATGTATTTTTTTTTTTAAGTAAATAGTTTTGCATAGTATTGTTGTTGTTGTTGTCTAAAACAAGCAGTGAAGCATTTTGTTCTTTGGAATAAAATATAAAACAAATTAATACCATTTTAATATTTATTCCTAAGGAAAAAATATTGGTCTTCATAAAACATTTTATGCCGAAAAAAAGCCTTGGTCTATATATTTTCCCATTAAATATCCTGAAATTCATTAGATTACAGAAGGATAATGTTTCATAAACTAGGGCTGAATTTTATTTTCAATAACGATTTTGACTTCCAACAAGTGTGGAATCAAGATATTGTTGATCTAATAAATTATTAAATAATAAGTTATTAATAAGTTCTAATATCTAATAAGTTATTAAAATATTACTAAAATAAGTTATTATTTATTATTATTATTTTGTATTATTAATTCATATTGATTCAATGATTTAAATTATAATATTTAGATCGTTTACAGTTAAATCATTTAAAGTATTGTTAAAATCTAATTTAATTAATGTTATTTCATTATTAATGATTTTTTTCTCTTTTTTTTCAGTTCAAGGAAATCCACTATTAAAAAGAAGATTTATTTAAAGTTCAATAAATGCATGATGTTTCAAAATCGGAGCCATGGATGGATTTTTTTTTAATCGAGCAGCTGTATCATGAACATCTTTTAAGGTTTGGTGTCGCGATAAATGTTACACAAAACTGTACGAAATAACATATGCTGCGACTTTAAACCTTGTGCGCAGTTTTTAAATCCTTTCCCTGCCATAATCGAACATATTTCAGGATATTCAACCATAAATGAGGCCTTTATGATTAGTAAAATGGGTTAAGACTGTCTTTTTTTGGTCGTGTTGCTACTTTGCGTGAAGTCTTCAGCAGATCATGGCTTTAGATGCAGCTTGACAGAAAACATCTGTTTTCTCATTGACCTTGTTGGATGGCTGTTTTGGCCTCCCCTGCAGGCAGACGGTCTGCCCACCAACTTCACTGAGACACAAAGAAATACCAGCATGAAAGCCAGTGAGATGAGAGGAGGCTGGATTAGCAGGGGTTAATTACAAGCCATCAAGAGCCGCTGCTACTACGGTGCAGTTCAGCCCTCAAAAGAGAGAGGAGCACAGACAGATTCATGTCACTAATTTGCCTCTTTAGAGCCAATGAGAGTAATGCAGCCCACTGTAAAAGAGCAAATGCTCTGGGTTTTGCTGTGAACTTGTGAAGTAACTGTACAGTGATGAAACGTGGAGCTGTAATGTTTTGACCTACTGTAGATCAGTGCTAAACAGAAACGTTTCACTTTCTCTTAAAATGTTCAATATCCTACAACTTGATTTATTTCCATATTTTTTAGTGTAGTGTCAGACTTTATATTTTAGATGAGTTATGAGCTTGCAAATTAAATGTCCAGTTCACAAACAAATAAGTTCATTGATGTGGTTCTTTTGAATGAATCAATTGAACCGATTCTGACTGAATCAAATCACAGGAGTCATCTGTGTGAATCAGTCAGACCACTAATTTCTTTATTGAATCAGCTCAGACGAATCACTCAATTGAACACCATTTATAGTACTTGTCCGCAAAATAATTTTGTTATAATAAGTGGCTTTTATTTACTTAATTATTATTTAATGTTTACTTTATTGTTTAAAAAGTTATTAGGCTCTGTTTTGGGGGAGTTCGTTTTATTCTATCAGTCATTAAATCTCTAGTTCAAGCCTCTGCTCGGCTATTATTAGCCCTATCTCTGTCCTAAACACGGTGATCCAGTATTCAGATAGCTTTTACACTGGTTTGGAAAGATCTATATTAGTGAGGTAATGCCTTGAGCGCATAGTGATGTAGACAAGGCTAATAATAATGTGTGCTAATTATGAAACATATTACTGTGTCGTAGTTTGTGCACCATATTTCGATTACATTAGCATGTTAACCTGATGATAATGGTAATGTGCAATTGTGGTAGATACTGGCTAATAGAGCTGGGAAATAAATGTAATATTCACAATGTATCGCACAATCTCTTGTAACTTGTATGAGTGTGTTTTAATAGTGTTTGAATAGTTTCTCTGATTTAAATAGCAAGAAAAGTGTTAGAGTTAGTTTGATTTATTGCCACGAGTCGGTAAAAAATATCTGTTTTAATGAATCGATTCAAAACTTTGATTCAGTGATTCATTTGCATTACTAAAATATCACTCAAACATGTTTACAGTTGACCCTACAAGGCTTTTTAAAAATGTATTCTAATGTTTTAGTAAAAATATAGGATGGTAAATATTTGTTTGTTGTTATGCATTGCATAAATGAAAAAAAAATTGAAAATGGTTCTGCCTTTAGAAGTTTTTTTAGAAGTAGAACACATTTTGAGTCTATTTGGCTGGTGGTTCATCTAAGAGCAAATGTATATTTTGAATATCAACAAAGTCAAACCAAAAGGCTGAAAAATTAAAGACTCTTTTAGCTGAATTGCTTAGCCCAACTGGCTAAACAAGGGGTGTTTTCTGAGTTTGGACCCCCTGTTTCTCACTTCTTTCTGAAAGTCCCTAAATTCAGATCCATCTCATGCTCAACACCTGTTCAGAATTCTTTCCCAAACAATCGCTGCTTTTCCCGGACTGTCTGACATCTGGAAAATGTTGCAGTTCCCCTTTTGACTGGATTTATAGCGAAGGGCTTCAGAGGGGGTCGAGGTACATGAGAGGTGCTGTAGTTGTACGGTAGAAAGTCATCTTAAATAAGTGCATGGGGTCTCTTTTATGTAAGGGATTTTTTTCTCCTTCAGATTTCTCTTTGTAGTTGATTTAGTCTGACTATTGAGAAAAATAGAGCTTGCGAATTAGCAGCACACACCTGTTTTTAGTTGCAGTAAACGGCTGCTCTTCATAGTGAAACTGGCAAACAAAACACAGTTCTGCAGTTATTCCCATTTACTAGGTCACATGGACATATTCACTTGAAAATGCTGTGTTGTTGTCTTTTTTTCCTGTGAGGGAATACGAAAATAGCACTTTAATGCGTCATGTTTCGAATGTCTTTCCTTTCAGAATCAACCATGCAGGCAAAAATTTTTAAGCTAGAATTCTTGCTTTGTAATCATATTATTTGAGTTGTTAGTGCTGTTGTACTAAATGTACTAAAACCATGCAGAGTTGTAAAAGCCACTGAAGTTTGTTCAAAATTAAATGCAGTAAATAGTCCTAAGTCCTAAAGGAAATGTTTTTTATAAGCTGATTTTGGGGTCTCTAAAATAGGGATGCAGTCATGCATTATTTAGCAAAGCCCTCAAGGAATGCAAATGTGGCATGTGGGTTAAGCTAATGCTGATGGTGAAGGCCATTACCTCTGCAGTCTGAACGCACATGGTCACAGTTTCCCTTAATAGACTTTCTAAATGCATCTGAGGGTAAATGGGCAAAATTCCATTTGCAACATTCAACGTCAATCCAGACTTCACAGTGTATGTCATGTATTATGCATATTCATTCAAAGCTAAAAAACCCCCACAAAATTTGTGCAGGACAGCACATATGTACGAGTGAACTGTTATTTAGGACTAGTTCAATAGGCGAGCACTGTGAAGTCAACTAAATCCATGCATAAGCTAATGGCACTGCCAGTGGCCCCAGACATGAATTTCTGCCAACTCCATCGGCTCACAAAAAGCTACAGGGACTTCTGTTCACACTGCCATATGGCCTACGCCTTGGGAGATCGGATCTCCCTTGAGAAATGCTGAAAAGACTTAACTGTGTCTCTACCGTTTTTGTTTCCACAGGGCTCCAGGTATAGAAGGAGAAGGACAGGACCTCTGTCTATCAAACTCTGAAGTGCCCAGTGCCAGCTGTATAGGTCAACTCAACCATAACACCGCAGAACAATAGGAGCCTAACCCAGAGACCTTAGACGGCTATCAAAAAGCAAATAATCGAGCTCATTAGCTCTCTTCCCCCAAGACGACCTTCTCTGAAACGTTCAACAGAAGAAAGGAAGTTAAAAGGGACGAAACAAGGAGGAAAAAGGGCACTGGCAGCTATTTCTGATGCTCTGTGGTGAAGAAAACATCTGATTTGGGATTTGAGGATTGCGGAAAAAGGATTTCCCCATGCCCTGCCCGTTTATCCCAATGCCTGTATAAATATTGCATGGAGATATCGATTTGTCCCTTTTCCAAAAGCACCCAGTAAAGAGACTAAGTATTGCAAATCCCAACAGCCGGTCTGTTGCTTAAACCTCTCAGATTCTCAGAATGCCTAAAAATCTATGTTCATAGGGGTCCTATAAATGGATCCCTAAAAGCGTCTATATTCCGAGACACGTCAGCTCTCGAAGAATCATCAGACCATTGGTTTCATCTCCAGAGAGTTTCCTTCTCTTTGTAGGGCGAGGCAGCTGCTTTGTCCTTTTTATTTGGATGCATTTTTCCAGAACTCCAAAATGAAGCCCTTAACTCCCATTGGTTCACCCTCTCCACTGAGGCTCATGAACAAGGGGCCCGATTACCTGCGCAGGCAGATGGATGCCGGAAGCAGGGGTCATTCCGTCAGTGCTGTAGAGCGTCTGGAAGCCGACAAGGCAAAGTACGTCAAGAGTCAACAGGTCATCAACACAAAGCAGGAGCCCGTGTTAGTGCCCTGTGCAACCCCTCCACCGGTGCCCCGTCGCAACTTCACCGTGTCCACTCCTTCAACACCTGTTCTCCCGCCTCGAAATAAAACGGCGCCTTTCACTGCACCGCTGTTCTCCAGGGATGAAAATGAGGACGATTCGAGGAAAGAGAACTGTCGGAACGAAACTGAAATGGAAACCAACAATTGCAACAATGCAAACAAGCTTCCCGTACCTTCTCCAAGAACTCCAACCATTGCTCCATTAGTTGCCCCGCGTAGTGCTCCAATAATGCGCAGGAGCAACGGCAAGCGCATGCTGCGTCCAGACTCCCTGGTCATTTACAGACAGAAGAAAGAGTGCAAGAGTCCCAGCGGCAGTGGTGAAAATGCCAGCGGCAACTTAGAGGTCAAGGGATACAGCTTTGTACGACGACTCTTCCAGGGATCCATGCGCGAAAAGAGCGGTGGTAACGAGGCTCAGAAAATGGTGATAAATGAGGAGAAGGCTTCTTCCTCTCGAGACGGGGATTCACGAATGTCTTGGTCCAATGACAAAGACACTGTCGATGGTGGGAACGAGACTAGACGATCGAGCAAATCCGAGCGAGAGCACTCAACGCCCGAGATGCAAAATGACAACACTGGCTTTCAGGAGAAGCAATCAAAGAACTGCATGATCAACAGTTTACGAAACAGCACGGGGAATCCCAACAATAACGACATGGACCCATGGAAGCCAGTCATTCCTCAGATGCGATCCGATTTGAAACGCTCCAAGTCAGAATTGCGACTACGCTGCTCGCTAGCCATGTCCGAGCAGGAACGCTTCTTCGACTACTGTGGATTGGACCTGGATATGGTGGAAAGGCTCGGACCGGAGAACTTTCTAACTGGGGCCAGTTCAGTTGACACGCTCTCGCTGCTACTGAGGAGCATCGGAGGCGGCGGCTCGGAGCCAAGCGAGTTTTCCCGACACTCCGGTGATGGGCTTTTCCAGGAGGAGCTTGCCGAGCAGATCCCTACAGGTGTGTCCATTATCGAGAGAAATGCACGGGTCATAAAGTGGCTCTACGGTTGCAGGAACGCAGCCCAGGAGGGTCCTAAAGAGTCTACTGTTTGATTATCACGCTAACTAAACCCAAGACTTTCTGGAGCCGTGTTCCAATTTGGGAAACTATGCTGTATTTATTTTACATGAGAGTATTTAAGAGATCGTTTGGCTTATCACAGCCAGTACGAGAACATTCAAGTTATTTTGTGTAAGTCACACATGAAGCTGCAAACCGATACTTCCTTTCACGACCTACACTGTGGCTTTGTCGAAATCGCCCCCTATACCCTCATTTACTATTCCCAACATTAGTTTACTAATGTAGTCCACTCGAAGGAGTGAATGAAAACAAATGAGTGAATTCGGACATTGGATGTGGCTGTGGACTCCAACTTCTGGGAAGACTCAGAAATTAATTTGCTGCATTTCTCACATTGCATGGCTATTCTGTAGCGGCCTATCCACTCATTATTGTGGTGCATTATGGGATTGAATGAGTGCACTCAATAATGTCAGACTAGTGCACTGTAGAGTATAGGGGGCGATAATGATGTATCTTTAGCGATGTCATCTCCGGTTCTCTGTAAATAGAAAGATTCATGAGTCCGTCCTGTTACTTCTGTTGAGAAGCGAGTGTTATTTGTTGAGCGTAACTTAAAGAACGTGTCATCTGATGAATAATTTTACATTGAAAACCACTAAGCTTTTCTCTGGGGCTGGGAAACCGATGCACGAGTGTTAAATGAACCATGTGTTCCTCATTTCCCAACTGTCCCAGTTTAGTTTGTGTGTTGCCTTTTTTCCTTAAACGCAGGCGTTGGAACAAACACACAGAGGGCCCCTGTGGGGATATTAATGCACTGAATTGGAGAAAGAGACGAAGCGAGAGCTATATATATTGCTATGAAACGTATTTTTAACACTGAGTGCATGCAAAGAAGTAGGGCCTTAAAACAACCTGATTTTGAGTTTCATTAACTTATGCCAAAGAAATGTGCTGCATACTGATGTACAATAAGTTCCAAACCCTATCGAGCCGCCTTGAGAGAATGATGTTCACAGAGTTTGACAATAGCATGTTGCTAAGCTAATAACTTGGAAAATAAATTGGGTGAAATAGCATATTTTTTATTAATATTTTCCCAGTACAAAATATATTTATAATCGACACATCTTCCATTGTTTATTATATATTTTCCCTGTGCATTTTAGAATTGCCTTATTCATGAAGGATGCATGTTGTGCTAATTCAGTTTTGGCCAAAACTCTGTATTGTACAAGGCATTGTAATTTTGCTCTAAACAGCAAAGCGGCATCCAAATATTAATTTCTGAAGGGGACCAAAAATACAATTTTAGAATCAGTCATTGAAAAACCAATACTGTTGGTAGCCGCTCACTTGGAAAAACCAGCATATGCTGGTTAGGTATGTTTTGAAGCATGGCTGCTGGTTTGAGCTGGTTTAACGGGTCCTTAGCTGGTCTTAAGCAACTAGCTCCTGCTCAGGACCAGCTTAAACCAGCTCAAACCATCAGCCATGCTTCAAAACATACCTAACCAGCATATGCTGTTTTTTTCAACAAGGTTGGGTTTGGAACAATTTTGCCCCCAGCTGTCTTTTACCAATAACTAAAGCATGCAAATTGCTCAATTTCATTCCCATGTTTGGTAAACTGCATCTATGGGTGTTACTTTGATAACGGTGATGGTAAATTATGGTTGTTTGCACATTTGTCCTCAACGCAAATGACAGTTCCTGTGGCGGAGCATTCTTCAGTACGCACTTGATCAAGCTGTTTCTGTGTTTAACTCTCAAAAGTACAGAGTTTAGCAAAGTAGAGGAAGACGTAACTGCAAGAGACCTGCCGGGCGGACACACACTCCCAGTGTGGGAGACGCTGATGTGTTTTTATATTGAAGGAGACCTTTGAAAGCTCCTCCCGTCTGAACGCATCAATCAGACACTGATTCTCCTTTGTCGTAATGAAACCCCCCCGGTCGGTGGCATTAATCAATCTCTATGATACCACTGATAAATGAAGCAAAGGTCCACTGCGGCATGCACAGGTCAGACTGTGGCCTGCAGAGAAAGAACTGTGATCTTTTCTTTCAAACTTTTTCATCCCCAACATCCAAGATGCATTCAGTCTTCCAGAGCACCCGAAATCTCTCTCTTGCATGTTTACAGTCCATCTGTATATGTTTCTATAAAGAATTTAGATTTCAACCCAAAGAGATATTACAGAGAATATCCTAATAAAATCCTATTTCTGAACAACTGTATTCATTTGTGTTTTGTTTCAATATCACATAGATAGCTGTATGCAAAAAAAGGGCTGCTTAATATTTTTGTGGAAATCAGGATGAATTCAAAAGTTTGGAAAGTTATTCAGCAAGGATGCATCAAATTTGATCAAATAAAGACATTAATAATGTTACAAAAAAAATTCTAATTCAAATAAATGCTGTTCTTTTGAACTTTCTATTCATCAAAGAATCCTGCAAAATAAAATGTCAGTTTCCAGAAAAATCTTTCCACAAAAAAGCAGCATAATAGTTTTCAACATTGATAATAATCAGAAATGTTTCTTCAGCAACAAATCAGCATATTAGCATGATTTCTGAAGATCATGTGACACTGAAGACTGGAGTAATGATGCTGAAAATACAGCTTTGCATCATAGAAATAAATTTCATTTTACAATATATCACAATAGAAAACAGTTCTTTTAAATTGATAATAATAATTAATAATGTTAATATTTATTAATATTGTGAAATATTATTAATTTAATAAAATTAATAACATTTCACAATATTAGTGTTTTTACTGTATATTTTAATCAAATAAATCTGGCCTCTGTGACCAGAAGAAACTTCTTTGAAAAAAAAAAAAGAAAGAAAAAAAAAATCATACTGTAACATGGGAAATATGATTTTCAAAAGACAAGTTGCTATCTAATATAACACCCAGATTTTTGACTGTAGAGGAAGTAACCGTACATCCGTCTAGTTGCAAATTGTAATCCACGAGATTCTGTGTACTGTCTTTTGGTCCAATAAGTAATATCTCTGTCTTTAAATGGAGCTTTTGACCAGTAGTGTCTATCTACAGTATATAAAATATTGCTAATTCTTCTTTCTCTAGAAAACTTTCACATTTTTAAAATCCTTATCCAGTAATCACAGCAAACTGCTCAGGGGTGTCATATTTCCCAAACCAGATAAGTGTTGAAGGTGTGGAAACCCTGTAGATGATGTCATTGGAAATAAAAATGATTGCACGGTCCAGCTGTGTAACTCTATAAATCAAAATACTGAGTGAGCGCTGCATGCCGGCACAGAGCTGATGATTACACACTAGTCAGTCTTAGATTTCTTTCTAGTCTTCAATGTTGTTAGAAAACACACAACTCAGTTGCTAAATAAAATTTGTGCAAAATGGGAAGCAAAATAACTACATAATTTTGAACAGCTCCACATCTGATTGCTGGTGAAAGTCTGAGTGCAGTGAAATCCTACCATTTTCTTGTCTCATTTCTCAGTGAAGCTCAGGGGCCTGTTAGTCTGAAGGCATGTACACAACATGGAAAGCACTTCAGTCAAATGCACCAGTTCACCTCATAATCATGAAAAAAAAAAAAACAGTTTTAAACCAATTTTACTTACATAATGAAATGTATTTCCAAGTAAAACAGGATATTCAATGTGAAAAATGGAGGGCGGGACTTGATTTCATCAAACAAGATTTGATTGGGTGGTCATAAGTGGACATTACATACCAGAGTGGATTCAGGTGTTTGGAAGGGACTGGTTCAGAAAATAAGGAAAAGTTATTTCAGAGATGGTTACATTTTTAAATGGAGATAATTATTCTCACAGCATATGCAACATTTGATTATTCTGAAGACAAACGTTTTATATATATATATATATATATATATATTATTTGGAAAAATACACCAGTAGATTGTGTACTGTAAGTCCAGAAAATGAAATGAATATTTTTATTTTGCAAGGACATATTAAATTTATCAAAAGTGTCAGTAAAGACATTTATATTTCAAATGCAGGCTGTTCTTTTAAACTTTTTAATCATGAAAGAGTGATGAAAAAAGTATATATAAATGTATTTATATAATCTAATAATTTTTAACAATAATTATAGAATGTAACCAATAATTTAACTTAAATAATCTGACTTTTTCAAATTTGAATCTAATGATACGTACAAGTTGTCATGCTAAATTAATGAATAACCTCACAATCAGTATCAGAAATACAATATCATTAAAAAGTTTGAGGTCAGAATGATTTTTTAAAAGGAAATCAATATTTTTATTCATCAAGGATGCATTAAATGAATAAAAAGTGACAGTAAAGTAATTTATAACGGTACAAAAAAATTCTGTTTCAAATAAATGCTGTTCTTTTGAACTTTCTGTTCATCAAAGAATCCTGAAAAATAAAATGTATCACAGTTTCCACAAAAATACGAAGCAGCACAACTGTTTTCAACACGTATAATAATCAGAAATCATATTAAGTCATATGTGTGTTTGTGTGTGGCAAGCTGCAATGTTTCTCGAGCAGCAAATCAGCATATTTGAATGATTTCTGAAGATCATGTGACACTGAAGACTACAGTAATGATGCTGAAAATTCAGCTTTGATCACAGAAATAAATTACAGTTTAACAGATATTCACATAGAAAACAGCTATTTTAAATTCAAATAATATTACAGTGTGAAAAGAACTGTTGATCGTATTTAGTGGGGCTGCTCAGGTTACCCTCTTCCTCTTCTCCTCTCTCTGGCTTTCCTCTCTTCAGACACATAATTATGTGAATGAAACAGCAGTTTTCTTCCTGACGTTCAAACGCTGGGGCCTGCTGTGACATCCTGTTTTCGGTCCTGTCCGTAGTTTTTTCACACGTTTGCTTATCAAACAGCTCCTCTCCTCTCACAGCTGCTCCGGGGTGGACGGGCCCAGAGATCATGTTTCGGTCCTTGTCTCGGTCCTACGCAAATTTATCTCCAAGTGTGATGTCAGCGATGTCAGGATTCACAAATTTAGCCACAACAGACTGACTCAGCCCTTCTTTTTTAAATACTGAAATGTGCATATATAAAAGTAGATATAATAATAATAAAAAAATCTTTCCGCAACAGAGATCATCCACTTTTTCAGTGTTGGTTCTGATGCATTTTTTCCCATCCATTTTCATTTTCATTTTCATTTTCATTTTCATTTTCATTCATGTGTGTGTGTGTATGTGTGTGTGTGTGTGTGTGTACAGTATAAATATAATATAATATATAATAAATATTAAATAAATACATATTAAATAAATATAACTGGAGTAATGGCTACTGAAAAATATATATCAATTAAATATAGTGTTTATTAATATATTTAATTAGTTTCTAATTTTAGATTTTCTGTTTTCATTTTAATTTTAGTTAGTGTTAATTTTAGTTAACTTTTTTAATTAATTATTTTAGTTAATTTTAGTTTAATTTTTGTGTCATTTTATGTTTGCGTCTTTTTTTTTATTATGTCTATATAGTTTTTATTCATTTGATTTCAGTTTGAATTTTTAGTACATCAAGTTAAACTAAATTAAAAATGATAAATGTTTCCTTGGCAACTAGCTGAAATCAAATAAGTTTAAGTTTTTGCATATTTTATTTTTAGTTTATTTTTAGTGTTAATTAACTATAATAACCCTAATATATAAACAAACTACATATCCCAATAAAGCATTGCAAATGATGGAATCAAAATACTATTTTAGTACACTATTGAATATCACTGTGTAGAAGTAACGATATACTGTATTTGATGTTCACTGCAAAATATTCAAATAAAAACACATTACAATCACTCACTTGTGGCTTCTACAGAACTCAATTTTAAGCATTTCTATGCAATTGCTAAAAAAAATCTATTTTTACTTTAATATTAATCAAGAAAATTAAATAATTACATATATATGGTTTATCTTGCAACTTCACTTTGCTCAAATATGCTCATAGGCAACTTCCTGATGAAAAACTGTAAAGAAGTTTGCAGTTGTTTAAAGCAAAGGCAGAAGAAATGAACTAAAAGAACTAAAGTAAAGGAAAATATAGATTTGCATTTCCTGAACGAAACAACAAAAGAGCAGTGCTGACATTTTGGGTAAGTGTAGGTTTGCGTCTGATGCAGGGTGTTGTGGGTGGTCTTGAAAGCACCGTAAAAGCACAATTATACAGTCTGTGGCACACTTAGCAGACAAAGAGCACTACACACATCTGAACCCTGTCTGAAAAGCCTGCTGGGTTTGTAAAGACAAAGCGTGCCAAGATTTCCACTCTCATTGTGCCACGGTGGTATAATGAGACTCTGTTCACAATCGCCCTCGTGCAGCGCGAGGGAATGTGCATCGGGGTTGTGAAGTGTGGCAAAT